TTCCCACAGCAGTCTCTGAGAGAGTGGCGAAGGCCCCGTGACTCCGGGCAGCTGGGCTTAAGTAGAACCTGGGGCTCCGGCCAGGTGTCCCCAGTTATGCTGATTGGCCTCCTCAGCTCCACCCCCATCACAGGACCTGCAACACACATGCACACTAGCCGGCCACAGGCTCTGGGGCCGGCACATCATTTACACAAAATGAAACCTAAGTTTTGAGTTAAAACCTGTAAATGTCAACGTTTATTCCGTTTTGAAAGCATTATAAATTGTTTTAGTAGTCGCACATAATGACACCAGATGCTATAAATCAAACACAATGAAAGAAAGGGTCATTAATATGTCTTGTGATGAGAATGTATGAAACCATTTATGATATTTTGGAGGCAATTAGACCTCTTAACGAGTTCAATTGAACTCAAGGACAACAGGAAGGTTATAGCTTTTAGTGATTTATCTCCGAACGCTTCACTCAGAAACTTTTAGAGCATTCTCTCGAAGTTTCGCTCACTTTGAAACATGTGGGAGGTTGACCAAATGATCAGGCAAGGTAATGGAAGAATACTTTGTGACGTAAAGCGTTTCTCCCCCTCAGTTTCTCCCAGAGAGCTCTTTGAGATATCTCCCGCTGAGTTTCCTTTCATCATCGCTTCATGATGGATGGGATCTGTACGACAGCTCCTTAAAGTCAAACCTCTTTATTGTCTGCAGCTCAGGGTCAAACCGTGCTCCTCTCTCTGATGGAATACGGATCTTCCGCTCGCTGAACATCTCATCAAATACTCCTGGGATCTTTCCTTGTCAGTGCGTAAAGTGAGGAAGCTGTTCTGCGATTTCAACTCAAACACATATTTAAATGTTCATTTTTGCATCCACATCCACATGCATGAATACAGTACAGTAAATATATTCCTAATCGTGATTTCATTGTTTATATACTGTATATTTTCTACATTTTAATGCTGCTTTAATTCCATTTTGAGATGTTTAAATTCTAATATTGTTTATTTCTACTCTTTAATTTATACTTATGTGCAATGCCTTGTTTTGTTTTGTTGTTTTTTATGTTGCTGCAATGCAAACATTTCCCAATTTGGGATCAATAAAGTACCTCTTATCTTATCTTATATATATCTGTATGTCATTTCCTTTTGACCAGATGACATACAGCAGGTCTCAGCATGCCATTATTTGTTGTGTGCCAAACAAGTGTTTGATGGAGCAGTCATGTGATCACGTTGTGAAGTTTTGAGGTGTATTATAACCAGCTTTTGCAACAATACCTGATGGTACTGAGCAGTGTTTAGCCCGAGCAGCGATGGGCAACCAGCAGATGAAACAAGAGGAGAGCAGTCTGAACACCCTAAAAGGAAAAACCCCAAAAGAGGCAAGAAATAAATCTGATTTAAAATGATATCTTTCCTGCTGTCGATTTAAAAACTGTTGAAAAGGTTTCCCCAGGATGACTTATTCAAATCCAGTGTGTGTGTGTGTGTGTGTGTGTGTGTGTGTGTGTGTGTGTGTGTGTGTGTGTGTGTGTGTGTGTGTGTGTGTGTGTGTGTGTGTGTGTGTGTGTGTGAGTGTGAGTGTGAGTGTGAGTGTGAGTGTGAGTGTGAGTGGTGAGGTGTGTGTGTGTGTGAGTGTGCTAGTGCGTGTGTGTGTGTGTGTGTGTGTGTGTGTGTGTGTGTGTGCTAGTGCGTGTGTGTGTGTGTGTGTGTGTGTGTGTGTGTGTGTGTGTGTGGCTAGTGCGGTGTGTGTGTGTGTGTGTGTGTGTGTGTGTGTGGTGTGTGTGTTGTGTGTGTGTGTGTGTGTGTGTGTGTGTGGTGTGTGTGAGTGTGAGTGTGAGTGTGAGTGTGAGTGTGAGTGTGAGTGTGAGTGTGTGTGTGTGTGAGTGTGCTAGTGCGTGTGTGTGTGTGTGTGTGTGTGTGTGTGTGTGTGTGTGTGCTAGTGCGTGTGTGTGTGTGTGTGTAAATTGTCTCGTTGAAAAATGAGCTGTGAAGATCTCATAATCGTACCGTGACCGATTCTGTCCGGAAGAAGTGGTCTTTGTTCTCTCTCTGTGTGTGTGTGTGTGTGTGTGTGTGTGTGTGTGTGTGTGTGTGTGTGTGTGTGTGTGTGTGTGTGTGTGTGTGTGTGTGTGTGTGTGTGGGGATCTGGATGTATCTTTTTATGAAGGTAACACACTGCTCTGACGTGTTAAATGTGTTTGGGTCGAGTGTGTTCCATCAATGTGTTGAAAACGTAGATGAGTTGGCTTTAAATCTAATTGTAGCATTAAATGTGTGCATATTATCATCACATTACGGTGCGTCTGAATGGAAACATTAAGAAAAAGCATTGCATCGAGTCATGCAGAAACCCCCCGACAAAAACCCTTTAAAGTGTAATTTATGGTTTTAGTTACAAGAGAGATCCCCTCCTCACTTTCCTTCCTCGCCTCGTTTATTATTTCCTCTAACGACTTGTTCTGCTTTTCTCCTTCTCCTCACGGCTGGTGAGCGAGCAGAAACTCCGACCCCCCCTACGTCTTGATTTATCTCTTTTGAAATGGTGGTGAAGTGTAACAAATGTACCGTGGTGCATTCAAAGACGCGGCCACTTGCACAGAAGTGTCTCTAGAGAGGTGGGGGTTCTCTGTGGGGGGTCTGCAGGTTTCCCCTCGCTTCGTTTCCTGAACTCATTCAGCTGATTATCTGACAGGAAAACTCACAATGAGTCGCTTTAACTCCCGTTTACAGAGATCATGGGTTAATACAGACGACACACCCTCACTGCAGGACATCATGCGAGCTATAGACTGTTCTATATTACAGAAACATCCAGAGCTGATGTTTTTAGAAGCTAAACATGCACTATAACTGCATCTAGTCATCATTGTCAGCACACATTAAGATGCATATTCAGTTACGGTCACACAAGAAAAGCTTTGAGAAGTTTGGACCAGAGCTTTTATGGTATATTTGCTCGAAAAATGGTTATAGTTGTATACTCAAGTTTACATTTCATTAGACACACATTCACTGCAGGGGGGGGGGGGCTATTAGGACATGATTTATACATAATGTGACCTATTTTTCATCAACAAATATTTACAGACAATGTTTTATATTACAGAAACATCCAGAGGTGATGTTTTTAGAGGCTAAAAATGTACTATAACTGCATCTAGTGATCATTTCCTTCTCAAAATAAGATGCATATTCAGTTACGGTCTCACAACTCAAAGAACAGCAATAAATGTTCAACTTTTATGGTATTTTTGCTCGAAAAAAGGTTATAGTTATATACTAAAGGTCACATTTCCAGCTGGAGTTCAGTGGTTTATACAGACGACACACATTCACTGCAGGAGTTAAAGGACATGAGTTTTGCATAATGTGACTTATTAGACTGTTTTATATTTGAAAAAATCCAGATTTAATGTTTTTAGATGTTAAAAATGTACTATAACTGCATATAGTGGTCATTTGTTCTCACAAATTAAGAAGCATATTCAGTTACGGTCTCACAACTCAAAGAACAGCAATAAATATTAAACTTTGAGAAGTTTGGACCAGAGCTTTTATGGTATTTTTGCTCAAAAAAAGGTTTCAGTTATACAAGTTCACATTTCCAGCAGGAGTTCATGGGTTTATAGATATGATCACTGCAGGAGTTATAGGACAGGATTTTTGCATAATGTGACTGTTTTATATTAAAGAAACATCCAGAGTTGATGTTTTTAGTAGTAGAAAATGCACTATAACTGCATTTAGTGATCATTTTCATCACAAATTAAGATACATATTCAGTCACGGTCACATAACTCAAAGAAAAGCAACAAATCATGACATTTCTTAAGTTTAAACCAGAACTTTGCTGGTATTTTTGCTCGAAATATAGCAATTATTTGAGCATCAAAACAGCTGCGTGATTAATACGTTATTTTACCTCCAAAATAGAGGAATGAGGAGGACTTGAGGTCGGTATAAAAGCCATCAATCCAGACATATTATGATCAAATTTGACAATTTTTTGTGGCAAGTACAACTTTATTTCCCCCTTTTATACAGTACATAGAAACACAATGAAAACATAAAACTTTATCACTGAAAAAGGCTTTTGGCATAAGTCATATATTTCCAGGTTTTATTTATTATCAGGACTCTCTCCAGCTCAGATATATTGTAGTTTGTGAAGAAAGGTGGTCATTATTTCTGCAGTGTGCGTGCGTGCGTGCGTGCGTGCGTGCGTGTGTGCGTGTAGTAATACCCCACGTTTTTTTTTAAAGTACCAAAAGTTCAGGTATTTATTAAGTGATCCTTTAGTTTTATATTGTTCTACAGTTGGACTACTATTACTGATCCAGTAATAAATAATACTTTAAAGAGGCCCTATTGTGGTTTATGGGGTGTTCCCTCTCCTTTAGTGTGACCTGACATAGTGACATCACTATGGAACACCCGTGCTCCTATTGGCCAGCGCTCCAACACATTGTACCTGACATTTGAATGTACTGTTTTTAACCTCGTGCAGATTAAAGGTGCTGCTGCACTGCTGGATGTAAGAAAGCTAACTTTCTCCATATGGTAATAGAACAATAATCACTCGTCACCGGCTTGAGCTTCAATCTCAGGATCCATGTATTTGTGATCCTCTCCAGAATGGAAGTAGTCATCACATACAGAGCATCAACTAGTTCCTGAACAGTGTCCTTCACATGCTGATATCCAAGAGAGGGAGTTACACAGTCACAAGATGGAGGAATAGAAAGCAGTATTCAATGTTTACTTCAGATTAGCTCCACGTCAGAAATGAGCATGCTTGTCATATGTCTATCTCCATAGAGGCTGAATCATCATGTTAATCACATAGCTATCATATGCCTCAAACAGTCCTGATGCTCTTCTAGGTAATCATACATCCTGTCATGTACACAGCTACAGTTGGGATACCTTTGTTATCATGTTACTCTCATATTGGAAGAGGACATTGAGTATTTGTTTGTTCTTCTTCCCCTTCAGACCTGATGAACAGCTCAGTGTGGTGGCAGGCGGGGGTCAGCGGGGGGTACGAGGCTCTGCTGCTGGACGAGGATCAGGGCTGGCTGCTGGTGGGGGGGAAAGACCACGTTTACCTGCTGAGAGCCGACAACCTGACGCTAAACACACACACGGTGAGGAACAGGAAGTGGAGCATCTCACATCAACCAATCACAACAAGTTAAAGATTACAAACGAGTCTGACTGCGGAGAAGCTGGTGCATGAGAGACGTTTAAAGCTCAATCAGGGAAGAATATTCTACTTTTGTAAAGGGTGCCATTTAGTATGAAGTTCTCCTTTTTTATCCCATTTTTGGTATCGATGATTCTTGTTTTTAAAATATGTATTATTATATCAGTACGTGTCTTGTTATCTAGTACAGATTATCAAGGAAGTAGTGATAATGAGTACTTCTAGTCTATATCGTTTTGTAAATACTGAGCAGTAAAAAAACTGAAGATGGATGTGAAGTATAATTGTATCTCTAATCCTGGCAAAGGTCCATGTTCTTCCTCTTCTTTAAGATAATAAGATAAGATAAGAAGTACTTTATTGATCCCAATTTGGGAAACGTTTGCCCATCGATATCAGGAATACTTTGCAGACTGAAACTCCTCCTGGTTCGCTTGTAACTTTGCATTTAAACCTCAAACACAGCCAACAAACTAAGTATTTAAAGGGTGCTAGCTCATTTGAACCTGATGCACCAGTGCTTACAATGGTGTGGCTTGTTTTAAGTGATTATACATGCATGTTTTTAGCTGTTTATTGCACTTATTGTTAGTTATTCTGCATAAAAGTGTCTATAACTATATTTAATTAAATGTGATGTATTTCCTCCATCAGATCCACTGGCCGGCTGCTAGAGAGCACCAGATACACTGCATCATGGCGGGGAAGAATCCAGAGGTAAGAGTCTTTCAATTCGATTTAGAAAAGTAGAAAACAATCGACATATAAGACAATAAACAAATCTTATTATGTACTTTTACTAAAAACGTTTTAAAGATGTAATCAACCCTCGTTGGTTCATTTCTCATTTCATCAAGTTTTCTAAAATGTGCGACTGTCCCTTTAAGACAGGGGTGTCAAACTCTATTTCCTCGCGGGCCACATTCATATTAAAGTTGCACTCAAAGAGCCGGTTGTAACTTTAAGACTATATCAATATACATATATAAATACATAATATATATAAAATAATGTATTATATTACATTATTGGCTCTGCATTGGATTATTATCAGTTCTGGTAATAACAACGTCTGAAAGCAGAAGTCTGGGGCAAATAATAGCAGTAAATATTCAACAATTACTCCAATTGTATTGTATATTTTATTCTTTGCAAGCTCTTGCGGGGCCACATTAAATGAGGTCGTGGGCCTTGAGTTTGACACCCCTGCTTTATTGTCTGTACAGTTATATATATCGGTGTATTTCTGTTGATATTGACGTGTTGTTGTTGTTGTTGTTTGCAGACGGACTGTGCTAACTTCGTGCGGCTGCTGCAGCCCTTCAATAAAACTCATGTTTACGCCTGTGGGACCGGAGCCTTCCATCCTCAGTGCTCCTACCTCCATGTGGGACCCGACACAGAGGTATACACACATTTTATAAAGACACGCCCAGTCTCAAACCGCTGAGAAAACATTGGTGTGGCCTGGTATTGAATATTAGAAGATATCTGTTGTTCAGACAGGAGAGAGTTTCTTTGAGTTCATCAAAAACAGAGCATGTTATGTATAAAAGACATCAAGAAGTGCATTTTGCATAATGGGAGACCTTTAAAGTCTGTTTTACAGCTCATAGTCCTGTAGTGAGCCCTGATATGTTGAGTACCCCAAAGTTTGATGTTATAAATGTATAGTAGTGTATGCATATAGTTGTGCTGATGCAGAAAGAGTGAATGGTGAAATCGTTCATTATGGCACTTTTTTGCATTATAGAGTGCAAAGATGATCATACCAATACACCTGGCCATGCTGTTGTTCACAGATGTTTATTAGGACGTTTTACACACACATTATAAACATAGAGATTGTTCTCAGTCCTTAAAGTCCCTCTCTGAAGAGCCTCATTGTGCTCTGACATACAGGAAGAAATCCATCACGGAATATTCAAGTTCAAGTGGAGTTTCCTCTCTGCCCTTCGTAATATCTGTCATTCTAAATGTGTGTGTGCGGTCTCCTCTCTCA